CCTGGAGGCTTGATGATTCTTCATGAAATTTGCACCCTTCTCTCTCCCCCTTCTAACCAGCATAAGTTATCTTCTTTGCCGTCAGATTGCTGTCAAGAAACCACTTTTCCGTAAGCTTGACATTCAAAGCCGGCACTCTATTATCATACATCTGTCGGGAAAGGGTAGCAATGGCAACAGCTGCAGCAGAAATTATTCCCACTGCTTTTTGTAATTGCACTTTCCCATATTAATATGTCGGACTACCGAGACACTATTAAATTTTATCTATTGCAGGCTATTCTTATAAATAGATTTGCGGATGTGTATTAATCGTCTATCGTTTTAAACTTCATTACATATGATCTCACATTCGCAGTTTTTTGTATTTAGGCGGATTTGCAATACAATGAACAAATTTTTTAAACAAATCTGCGATTTTTGATGGACAGAAGTGTTTTTTTTACAATAAAGGTCATCTACTTATTTAGTAAATTATAGTCCTTTAATTTTGTTTTTGAGATTGACATATTATTCTGCACATTTTAATGCCGACAGTTGCCATCACACTTGTTTGTTCTGATCCCACAAGGTGAAGTACAATACAGGCTCCTTTTAAGCGCCGCCTAATTAAGTCCTACGGCACCCACTGACTGCCTGATTGATTGATTAGTAGGGCGGCTGGTTGATCAGCATTCTTGGAAAATATCGGAAGCCAAATCGTTACTATCGTCATTATATTTTTTCTTAGGAGCTTTACAAAATGTGGGGATTTTAGCCTCTTTGAGTAGTGCCAATTAGATCCAGTTTTGAAATGCTCCTACCAAGTATTTTGAAACAGCGTTAAGACGGGTGAAAACGACTTCATTTTTCCTCACCTTTGTTTAAAATGCAATAGTTCTAACTTTTCTTTAATAAATTAGTAGGTGCCTGCGATGAGACTGGAAGTACTCACCTAAATAACTAATGAGTTCTGCTAATTAAAGTATTCCATAAATGTTTTTACCAGATAATAGGAAACATTGGACTGTTTCTGATAGACCTTAGTGACTTTGAGAACTATTTGAACGTGAATGTGACTGATGAAGAGACTTGCCCTTTATTTCAGGTTGACTTACCACCTCAACTCACCCTCTGCACTCCTGAGGTCTTTTTTAAATGGTGAATACCACTTTCTTGGCACTACAGCTCAACAATAATATGAGAAATAGAATACTTAGTTAAAAATTGGAAGTTGCTTTTGGAGGCTAAACACCATTTTCATGTCTCATTCCCGACAGTAAGTTATGAAATTAAGAATCGCTCTTCAAAAAACTGAGAAAGTTCTTCAGCTTCTACGCATTCAACATAACAGTAATTTGCCTAAATAACCCATTGTTTTGTGAATGGGCCCATATGAAGCATTTTGTAATCATTAAGAATCGAGAGTGAGTATAGATGCAAGCATCGCTGTGACATCTGTCAGTACTTTGATTGATGTTTATCAAGGGTGTGATTTAATTTTAAGCCTCAAAGGGTATCACTAATTTAATACGTCATCGTACTTTTTTAATAGTACTTATTTGGTTGTTATAACTAACTTGCCATTCTGATTCCACATTTTGGTAACTCTGACATGAATAATTTCCCATTTTATCACAATTTTTTATACTGTGGAGAATTTTTTTAGTTTCTTCTAAATCGCCTTTCATGAAGGTAACGTAAAGCTACAATACTTACTTATTAGTCTCTCTGCAGAGGTTTGGATAAGACAAGGTTGTCTGGTGATCATTGCACTTCCTATTAAGGCGTAATCACGCATATTATATCCATTATGACCTTGAGGCAAATTGTTTATCTCTTCAAATAGTCAAGGTGACTTATTCCTACTAATTATTTTGTTAATTAATTCCAGGTTTACCATATTGTATGGCCAGCCTAAATGAGCATCTCCATAGCGATAGTGTATTCCTATAATAATGGCATGAGGTTCTGGTAGTGTAACCCCATCCTTCTGCTAATCCCGAATTCAGACGCTTAATATGCGCACGAAATCTTGACTGTTCCGTTTTTAATGTCATTTTATGTGCAAAAGGATTATTTTTTATTAATTTGGTTTTGAAATACCTGCATGAGCAACCTGAATACTATACAAATGTCTCTTGAGCCTCCATTGGTCGGTTACGAAGGTCGTTAACAAATGTTAGTCCGGCTTAAGAATAACTCATCTCCTTTATCCAGCCGGTATCTCGGTTCTGCGGCCTTGAATTTGATAAAAAAGCACGGTCTAGACTGTCAAAGTGGTGCGATTAACTGATGCTATGTTAACGCGTGGCTCCCTTTGTTCTCCCCTTTACATGCCTCCTTAACCCTACTTTTTAATGGGAGTGAAATGATAAATTTAGTCGGTATTTGGAAGAAAAAATCCCACTTATTTCTTTGAACTACTGCATTAACCGCATTAATGCGATACCTGAGTAGCTAGTGCTACAGTCAGATCAAAATAGAATTAGGGATAAAATCTATTATTTGAGAAGGAATTTTTGTAAAATCAAAATGCGAGGCGAGGATATTTTTAGTTCCGTCTCCTTCTGGATTGTTTACAAAATTCGCGAGCAAGAAAATGATACAATGGCGACGCTTCATGAGGCGTGGCGGCAATAAATCGAGTCTGGACTATTCGTAACGCACTCCGTACATGCAGTGTCTGGCTTTTTTGATATCACACAGGCTCACATACCCACCATTAACGCACCACATGTACTCCTTTTGTCAAATTGCCGCGTGTTCATCTAGAATGAGTCTCCGCTATTAATTTTAGATTTAAAAATACATGTGGGTTATTTCCCACTCAGGAAATCACAAACTTTACGAAGAATTTGAAGCTATCTTAGCCATCAAAAATTAACTAAACTTTCTCGTCTCAAGTTGATCATTCCTTCATTTTTGACCATTCAGGAAGGGAAATGCCTGCATTCCCTTCTCCATACTAAATCTGTCTCTAATACTTTAGTTTCTAACAGTTAAAAAGTGTTTTAGCTAAATTAAAATTCGTTAAGGCGTGCAATTTTAGTTCAAGATTTGCAGACTTCCTTCTAGAAAAGGATGCCATAACCAAGTACTCCTGCTTATTAGAACGCAGGATAGCAATAATAGTCCCGATGAATTTTTGATCACCTCAAGTAACGGTCACTATCTTAGCAGTATGTCGTTACTAACATGTCATTCATGATAACAACTAATCACATTTTAGGTACATTTATGAAACATTGCTGCTTATGGTTGCCAAAATGCCAAGATTCATTTTACTACCTCACATATATTTTCCGATAGCCATTAGGCACGTTTTCGGGACCAAAATTCTCCTTTCTCAGTATAGAGGTGTTGAAAGAGTTTATTGTATTCAGAGAAACTGTTCTTTTTAAAAGCTTTAGATTTGAATGAACTGTAGAATTATAAAAACTGGAGAAAGGAAAAAGAGAATGTTGCTATTGGAAGCAGGCCTAACATATTAAGAAACTTGATGATTAACGCCAAAAGTCGGGCAACTTACAAGCGACCATTAATAAATAAAGTACTCCAGGCTAGTACACAAGATAAAATAGTTACTTAGAATACACTGATAAGTTGGGAAAACTCTGGTATTTGAATAAATTTACTTTTAAAAATGTGCACCAACAAATAGGGCAGCAATGGGTAACACTCAGTATGCAGATTTTGCAATCACTTCGGTTTGCTAAAGACACTTACTAGGGTAAAGAGCCTCAAGTAAAGGGTTATTCATAGACTATAAACCTTGTCGTTGACTGGGAAATTTGCGGAGAGTAAAAACCCTGTATACTTGTCCATCGAATTACCCGTCAAAAATAACAACTTCAAGAGTAGCATCTTCAAGGAGATGGCATTTTATTTATCCACTTCTTTATAGATTTTCCATTTTGAAACGCTTTATCGCACTCTTCTCTAGTTCCATGAAAGTCGACCTCTGGAAGCTACGTCAGAAGAATAGCTGAGAAGTTATGGATGGAAACTTTAACACCTTTGCAGACACATAATTCTGAGATGGATGCTTTTGGACAGAACTATTTCACAGAGGCGCAAAAGTATTACTTCACCGTTGATTAAAATTAACATAAACGAAAGGCCCGCCTTGATCAATGTTGCTACACTACACAAACATTTTGCTTGTTTCCAGCTCCATTTTTTACCGCTCTCAGTAGCCAAACCAAAACTGGAGATTTGCAACTTAGTCATGGGCTATGAATGAGACCGAATGCTGAGTATGAGACCCACGCTTCACTTACGTTCCCCGTGTGGCATTGTCCACTGTTTACTGTTACAAATGAGGATATTTATTAGCGATCAGGGACCAATCAAGTTCAAGGAGAAATACAACATTAATTTATCACCTACCCATGAACTCGCTTTAGATATGAACAATGTACCTTCACGCGTCTTGCCTCCTACTTATTGATTGTAATTATACATCTTTTTCCCTTTCAAGAAAGGCATGTGCACCCCGTATTGTGGTGGCACATAATCTTAATCAGGTATTACTTCAATGTCTGCAAGAATTCATTCGATTTTATTACTGCTATACATAGTTTAAATAGTACTTTTAACCTGCAAGTTAGCATCCGGCGACAAATATGTGACGCTCAGGTTTTTGTGTCCAAGTTTAAAATGGCATGTGTTCCTAATTAGCTTACGCCACTTGATCACATCAAATCACAATTTAAATGGCGTGACTGAATATAAAACCGTAAATTGAGTGTTGAAAAATAAAACATGAGCTCTAGTGGTCAGTTTTCCAGCCAGCCTGCTTTTGATGTTTAATAACTTACCAATGTGGTTACCTGCAATTCAAAAACTCTTATGTTTGCTATGTAATTTCAAATTTAAGACGCTGGTTTGGGAACCATGATTTTGAGGGAGCTGGGTTACACATATGCGACTCTTTGTAAACATTAAGTTTCTGAGAATGAGATATGTAAAATGGTGGCCACATCCAACAATCGCCTAAAGCTACTACTGGCACTAACTTCAAAAGGTGGCAGACATTTCCATTTCAAGGAGAACCAGTCTATTGACTTAACGTCCCTCTAATCTTACCGACAGCTAAACGGACACGTAATAGTTGCGCTCTCAGCTCCTTACAAAGTTTGTTGTTCCCTTCGATGTGCAAAAACACGGTAGACTCCTATTTTGATTCAAACTGCTTTGTTTTAACATATTTCGTAGAAATAAATGAACGAATCACTGGTTAATTTGACCGCCGCAAATTATCACGCTTTCTCTTTATCTACCAATCCATCTATAAATCAAGCTACCTGGTAATAAGTCTGCTACTTCGCTTAAAATCTATCAGTTTATCCGCCTGCGGACTTATCCGTTGTAGTGTCTCGCTTTTTACTAATTCAGTACTCCTCTAGATAAATTAATGAAATTCTAGGTACCAGGTGTTGAAGTGTTTTCTTGACAGTTTTAGCTCAAAATGAAAATGCCATAGCATAGCCTAGACAAAAGTTTTGCTCTCACAAACAGTGGGCTGCAATGTGTCTCACCACAAGTCTCTTCACTTATCTCTTCATCCGTTCTAATATTAAGTAGTATGGCCCATCTGACTCAAAATAAAGCATAATAACTGGAACGCTTAAAGTTGTTTACTTCGGCATTGGTTTGCAACTTTGGTGTTTGACTAAAATGCGCTGTGTTTTATAGCAAATAGCCTTTCATAGTTCCACTTTTCCGCTAAAAAACCTAATAATAACTTAACAAGTGACCGATGGTCATTATTGTCGATAAATGTCAAGACTTGGCTATTTAAAATGCCTAAAGTATTTTATCCCATTTAATCGTCTTAGACAAAAAAATCAAAAATTTACGTGAAAGTTGTACTCCTTTCATTGACGTAACTCCTAAAAAGCGCACTATTTTTTTCTTAAATTATTTTTTCATTTTAAAATAGTTAAAAATGGTGTCATTTTGCGAGACTTATTTCTTATTCGTCTTAATTGCATTTAATTTTGTAGGGATTCTTTAAAATGTTCAACTTTTTCTTTTTTTACTTTCAGTGTAAATCCATTTGTTTGATTAAGGCATAAATTTAATTTATTACCAATTTTATGTCATTCCCTAGAAAATTCCCGTATTTACCGAGCCGGTGGGAGGAAAAATTGGGGTCTTCCAATTTGTTAGCTGCTGTTGTTGTCTTCACCTCACTGGACAACTCTGACTAGTGTCCACTCAGTAGTGACTTCTAACACTAATTCAGTGAAAATTGTTAACCCATTGTGACCTTAGTGCAGTTCAAGGGCAGCAAGACACAAATCACAGTGACAGGTCTACTAGAAGTTATTCTTTAAAAAACTGGTAATCAATTGTTAAATATGGAACACTTTTCCATATTCTATTAGTCGACATTTATATTGCAATATATTATAATAATCCGCCAATTAAAAGGGGAGTAATAAAGGTAATTTTTGAAATATAATCTCCATTAACACGCGAACATTACGTTTTCAATGCTTTGATTGTTTGTTTAACCAGCGAGTTTTGTTTACGTGGCCACTTAAGGCTTCGTCTTTGTACTTTCGCTAGGTGGTATGGCCTCCTGACCGTGCCATTAGCCGCTCGGCCGTTCCCTACGTCGGCATTACACATTCTGTCCCAATATTATGACTTCTTTTGACTTCACAGAAGACCCGAGTCGCCACGTTAATGGCAGCTGAAAGCGAGCCTCATCCAAAAAGCGACTATTCTGATTCCTATTGCTGATTGCTAGAACCTAAAGAACCTGTGAAGATTCCTGTCAGAAGGGTTAATAGTGATGTCCACCATCGAGAACTATCCCATCTGTCTTTTGGAAGAGCGCTGTTAACAAGTGAAGCAGCTCCAACTGTAAATTATCAGAAAAGGTCCGTTAAGTAACTGTCTATGGTACTAGCATGAAGACATTAAATAAGCGAACGTGCAACACCACTTTTACCTCTTTAATAGATGGATAGAATCCAGGTAGAATTGGCTGAGTAGCGACGAAGTAAAGGCAAAGTATCAAAAAGGAATAAATGCGAAAGCAAATTTCCAAGTAACTACTCTTTATCCCATTCTTTACTAGATTGACCTGCTTTTGAATCAGTGTTTTTACGACTAGCGATGGACATGGAGATGGGTAGCACATTGCTTCTTCTCCCTACACTGCTCATAAACATGGCAAAACTCCAGAAACATTGGAATTGCCAAGATGTGCCAGTAACATTGCGATCAAACATCATTCTCGTTTCAAGCAAATTTAGTGACTGACGTGGTTGGTTTGTGAGTATTTTTCTCACGGCACCGACTACACTGCGATGTACGATGCAGGAAGTTGACCAAGGGGAGTGCCTGGGAAGAAGATAAAAAGAAGAGAGGGGCTATGTAATACTTTGTTTGGTTAACTCTCCAGTTTTCAATACATGGACACTTAAAACTCCGACTTTGTACTTCTGCTAACCGGCATGGCCATTGAGTCATGCCGCTGGCCCTTCAACCCATCTGTGCATCGGCAATACATATTCTGTCCCGGTTTTAGCCATCTTTCGACTTTAGGAAAGGCTAGGGGCCCTACATTATTAAGACGCGAGTGTTCTTCGCACAATTAGATTTGCCTCTAAATTTTTAAGTCAACTTTTTACCCCTGTTTTATTGAATACAAATTTGGTGAATTTTTCTCCATTTCGCACCCTCTTTTTTGCCACATAATGTGGTAAATGGAAATTTCGATGGGGTGACATGAGATTTAGCCAAATTGTCACTTAACTCGACTTCTAAACTGGAATAAGTAATTTGATATTCATTATTTTAATAGAGTAAAATTAGGTGATCAGAGGGGCACTTACAAGTTTTCTCGGCATAACTCACTGCAATCACTTTATGCACCTTGCATAGGCATGCAGAATGTACGCGGTGATTTACAAGCACTCAAAGTCATTGGATATGCATCATTACAGCAGTATGGCACCCTTTATTGTATTGTATTGTATTCTCTTTTGTTATTTTGGGTCTTCGTAGCATAGAATACTCTTTACAACACGATATGAAACTCAGTTCCAAAGCCGCTGGAGGTTTTTTGTCGAATTTGTTGTACAGCTTTGGGGGGTGCCTTTATCGCCATTCACAGAAGTAGTTCCAAAGCTTGGCAATGTTGGCGAATCACTCAGGCGTGCTCAGAAAGGATCCCTCTATTAATTCAATGGTATTTCGCCAGACAGCCATCACATTTTACTTGTCTTAAAATAAGATCCCACTTTTTCAAACACCTTAGAAATATTATTCCCGTTACCAAAATTTAGTAATATTTATTTTGAAGGCTAATTTTTTAACTATGTTTAAATTAAATCAGTTTTTTAGCTCAAACTAAACAGAAATTTAAGCACGAATTTTTGATGTGTCTGTGCTTGCAATGTGTAAAGTACTGCAGACTATACAACGTCAGTTATAAGTAATGTCTCGAAAAATTAGACGGTAGAGTTATTGGATATTAAAGCAATTCAAATCCTAATTTACTTACCTTGTCCGCAGCCTTTTTCAGTTGTTAAGTTTTCGTTTCATTCTCTTGCTGCGCTCCTTGTGGTTGCAGCTGTAGTCGACTTGACGTCCGGAGCGCCTTGCATTTGTCAGGTTAGACGGCGGTATAATCACGCACACATCGGTGGAGATGAAATTAAAGCTCCCGGCATTTCTACATCTTATGTTTAAAATATGTATCATCTGATGGAATGCTCTTTTCCTCTCTTTGGTAAGGCTTACAAACATATTTCACGAACGCCTTCAATTTCGATCAGCATTCCTTCTATAGTACTGTACTAAAT